AATTGCGGATGACAAGTTATCGTGATGACGGATTTGTTGAACATTATATCTAACTGAAACGAGAATTCTAATTAAGTTTGCAGCATACTTTTAATATATGGTAGATCAGGGTAGGCAATGCTGAATCTGAATACATATCAGTCGCTTTTTGTACAGAAACGAAAGATGTGAAATAAGTGTAAATAAGCGCACTATCGACAATATCAGGCAATCGGTATCGACATGAGTGAATTCTTATCATATCGATCGGTATTCGATGAAAGTTACTAAAACATAGTTTACATAATTTTTAGGCAAATGTTCGGGTACATGTGAAAAACCTATACTATTTCTTGTCTTTGTTTTTAGCATAGTTTTGGATCTTTATGTGACAAAAAGATCTTAGGAATATTCAATGAGACTCCTTTTCTATATTTTTCTATATTTTTGTGCCGAATAATTAGAAGTTTCTTTCTTAAATAAAAAGTTATAAATAAAATAAATAAAACTTATATTATTGTGGTTTTGGAAAATATTTGCTTCTATTATTTGGCGCAAGTCCAGTCCTGATATAAACTCACATTAATATTTTATATCCAGTCAATTTGATCATCTTAAAAAGCGCTTGAAGTTCTGTGTATGATAAAATAACAGTTTTGTAGTTGGAAATCGGCCTTGATAGCTATTGCAAAGTATACAAAAATTTGGTGATTCTGCGCGTAAGTCTTTTAATTAAGAAAGGACTTCGTCACACTTTCGTATTCACTCAGATGCCCCCAAAATTGTTTTTAGTGTTGTGATTGGACAAAATAAGTCATGTAAACTGCAAAAGTACTATAATTGTAGTTATAGCTTCTATGAGGATGAAATATGACTTTCTACGGAGTTCTCAAACTCAGGTCTTCAAATCATCATCATCAGGCAATACAAAGTATTTTAAGGCAAAGTTTAAGTTAAGGTAAGAATATCATTATACTTAATTTAATGTACTCCTTGAAAAGTCGAAATGTACTTCTGGGGGTACGTGTACTTCAAGTCGTAACTCTAGAATGAAGGCTAATATAAATCTAGTGTATAAGAAATGCTGGGTTTTCATACGACCCAATACTTTCATGATTTAGAACTATTCCTTAGCGGGAAATCATTGTTTTAAAACGGATAACCTTATGTACAATTATAATATAACAGTGTAGCATTACGATGTCTAATTATTCTAACTGCGAATAACAACTTATCTAATTACAAGTGTGCTTCCCGTTAATTCTTTATTCTTATTATTATCTGGTATTAGATGGTAAGACTTGTAGCAATTTCCAAACACTTCCAAACGCTCAACTTTTATTTAAAGATTATTTTCGATGCCACCTTGGTATTCGATCTCACTTGCTTAATTAACTCAATCGTACACCAAAGCGCAGTGTTAGGGAATGCGTATCCCATAAAGACATTGCCATAGTATAATCCGATAAGATTTTCGTTTTCGAAACTTATACGATATCCTTGCCTACATTTTATATTAATCCACTAGCGAAAAGGCGCATAACAGTGGTTCCCAACTTGTTTTGTCACATTCCCCCGTTGGCCTATGTTCAGCTTCAAATTCTGCCCTGCTATACATAAAAATCTATTTTCCTTTGTAATGCAATCTTAAACGGGACATTTGCTTTCGATATGTGCAACTTATACCATGGCTTCTGTACATTTTTAATAGTTCATAAGTTGTGCATATAAATATATGTATATGCCAAAAAATGATACTGAATAAGCATAATTATATTAGTAATACCACACATAACTATAAAATGAAATCGCCTCCTTAATGCATTTCAATTCTTTCTTATCTAGAAATTCCCCCCGATTGGAAAAAGTTGGCTTAGAGCAGTGTTTCCCAACCTTTTTTTTCAAGCAACCCAATTTTTTTTAAAATGACTTTTTTAGAATCTCGTGATCCAAGGTTATATATATTCTATAAAACTATATGTAGTACTTTAATAACTGCAAAATTGAAGGACTTATATAAAGCAATTATTTTCACATAATATTTTCCACAAAATTACCTCAAAGTGAGGAAGCTGCGCTTGTTTTTAAAACCGTGGCATAAATTTACTTAAGCAGAATAATTGCTGCCATTTCTTACGCAGTGATACTTTTCACAACACTTCAAAGCAATGTCAAATGAACAATAACATTTACTAGAAAAATGAAGTTGGGGTAGGTTGGGGAAACACTGGCTTAGGGAAAGGATAGAGAGTTAGGCTGAAAGCTACGTTTATATGTGTTGACAAATGAATGATTGATTTACCATTACTCAGCGCTATTTTACAAATTGCTATTTAATATTGTAATTTGCGCTATTGATTGGGTGTCTGCGAGACTGACTACTTATTCTTATTCTATGCATTTGTGTCGGTCGATCTGTATGCCTAAAATACAAGGATGCTATAACAAGATTAAAGATAACTAAAAAAATATTTCAATAGTCTTTCTGCAAACTAACATAAATGTATTTCTGTATTAATGTATTTGTCTTATGTGCAGCAAGATTCTTGAATTCCTTAAATAATATTGTAATAACTTAGAAAACATAAAACGCAAAAAATTCCACTTTATTATTACATTTTTGTAATCACGATTAACGCATAATACTCGGCACGAGTAAATATGACGTAGTTTGTCAATAATACATACACGATTTCAAAAATAATATTTAAAAATAAATAAACGTGTATACAGCAATCACGCAGGCATTTTATTTTATGCGATTTTGAAGTAAAGACATAGGTAGATCTGCTATGAAAAAAATCCCCATTGAGATTCAATTCACGCGCTTGAAGCTTTGTTAATAATTCGAATACAAATTACGCGATTATCAGAATTTAAAATGTATTAATTTATGCCATCGAACTACATCTCCGTATTTTATACTTTTGCGCCGATGCATGTAATGCAAGGATGCTGTAGCAAGAGTGATTATAAAAAGTGCATGCATTCTGTATGTATGTCTGAGGAAGTCTGGCGTCGTTCTGACCAAACGTTACAGAAATATTTGTATTAGTATGCTGCAAGACTATTGAATCATCTAGGTTTATTATTTATGTTCACGCAAAGAAATTGCTTCCAACTGCACAATAGGTGAATTAAATAGGTGAACTAAATTTGTGTGCTGGATTAGCGCGTGATTTTTCCATGATAGGAATAGTTTAATGCTAAGGGAAAGAACGTGAAACACTAACTTAGGAATCGTTGCTGTTATGCAGCATAATCACAATATATGAGTCAAGATGGCTGCTGTGTACATATCAGGATAGGATGGGATTTCCATATTTATCCAGGAGGAGAGCAAAGCCGATAAGACGACTTAATCATATGACGAACCGAGCCCTCTCTTCCGATTATCAGTTCATGTCAGGTATGGAATTAGTTAGCCAGTTATTTGCTTTTAAAGAAATATTCTTGATGGAAAAGGAAGCTGTAACCGACCAGCGGTCATGTGAACCATCCTACTGTGCACGAATGCGGAAATTAGTTGCAGTGTTTATAATTTAGATTGTTATAGGTGAAATGTTATTTCTGACTCAATTAGTTATTTTTGTAAAAAAAACAAAGCGCATGCTTTTCATATAAAGTGAATATTGTTTGGAATTTGATGGTATGAATAAATAGTGTTAGCTCACAGTTGTTAGAGTTAAATAGAGAGAGCTGAGGGGGCGCAATGGATCGGGAACTACATGAGATTTGAGATCGATGTTCACCATCTCACAATAGCTATAATGAATATAATAGACTGAGACTCAGAGTCAGAGTTATTTTTTATCACTTGAGCATTCAAACTGATTCAACATTAATCAAAAATATAGAAATGGCAGGAGTTGTGACGAACTGAGGGCTTCGTCACGGAGTCTACAACACCTGGGAAAACTTTTTTTTTTCAAATTATATAGCAGCTACTGACAATATCGGTGTTTGCTTGATTAGAATCTTGTTGAAAGCGGAGTTGTTTAACGGTCAGTATATTGAAATATTGCACTATATCAGTTGTTTCAAAACTGTACATGTATCCCGAGTGGTACGTTCCGAATATTTAAAGGGTACATTAAATAAGGTATATAAGACTATTCTTTCCGTAGTTGTCAATAACGTAGTACAGGTAATACCGAAAACCGCAATCTTAATAGTTTTACAGATTATATTTTAAAAGTGGAAGACTCGCCAGGAGAACAGTTAACGCTAATTTTACTAATACTATATAAGCGGACACTAATTAAGCACCACAGCCCTTCTAAGTTCAAAAGTTTATGTAATAGGAAATTCTAAATTAATTGCCATCTTTTATCGAGTATTTTGGATTATCAGATAATTTTGCGATACGAAATAGTTATTAATTGGAATATTTTGTCGGAAAGGTCGTTTTATAAACTTGAGGTTCAATTTAATAGGCAGAAAATAACGGTTAAAATTAGGTTTTACTGCTTGCATTTGGGTGCTCCCGAAGTATGCGAACCAAGATGGCGGACATCGGAACGTAATATGGGTAACAGGTTAGGGTTAGGCGATAATTTTTTTCCAATTTTCCTTATTTTAGTCCTATTATCAGTTCGAATACGAGCCAAGAGCCTCTCGTAGTATTTATACTAAAAATTATGGCCTAACCCTAACCTAGTACACATGTTACATTCCGATGTCCGTCATCTTGGTTCGCATACTTCGGGAGCCCCTGCATTTGTCTTGTAGAATCTAGAGCAGTAGTTCTCAAACTTTTTATACTATTTAGAATTTGTCAAGTCTCACGTCCCAGCTCAAAAATAACTAGCTGACAATAAGCTACAAGTAACAGATAGTAAAGCAAAAATCTTTTTTATTCAGAAAACACGTTGAAAATACGTGGATGGAACGTAAATATCTAAAATAATTAATTTAGAATGGTATTTCTGTAATGTTGAGTTATAGTTGAGCTTTTGTCTTACAGTTTTGAGTAATTGTAGTAATGAAGGGTTATGTTTTCAGCGTATTCTTCTTTTTAAGCAGTTCTGATAAGTGGACATATGGCGCGGCGTAATTGTCGTTGTTTGCACAATTTCACCCTGAAATAGGCTCCAGACAAGATATGAAAGACAGGGTGAGAGCTTTTGGTTTTCGTGTCCATATAATTAGGCATTGCTCTCATGTTTTTGTTGGAAAGACTATAATCTTTCTGTCCCCGCATTGCCTGTACAATTTTATACGGAATTTGAAATGAAAGTATTTTTATTTTTCCACACAGATTATTATCTATAAAATGAAATGATTAGGAATAGAACTTAAATAACATGGCGGATGCGATTTCAACGTTACAGAAGATAGAGAATTATTCAATATATATCACAACAGCAGAACCGATTGGATATTCTGGCAACGGGAGGTGAGAATTTCTATTTTTGCAGCACTTTAGTTCCACTATGGGGAATTGCAGGGTAATTAATTGGTACCCCCACAAGGCACAAGGTTTGGGGCGTAATAAATAAAGTAGGACATACCGAGTCGAGACCCAAGGATATACTCAAATACTGAACTTTCCACCAAAAATTATTATTAATACAAATTATCATTTTTAAATAGTTTTTATTTTACCAGAGATTAATTCAAAGTGAGAAACTTGCGCCTATTTGCCATCAGTGAGATCAACATTAAAATTTATTAGTAAAAATAAACTAATAATTCTAAGTTTTTGCTAAAAAAAACCAGGCGCACCAAAAGAATTTTCAGGTGACTCAACTTCGGGTCGCGACCCATAAGTCTGGAAACACTCATCTAGAGAAGGAGTTGTTTAGGGCTCCCATAAAACCGCTCCGTGGCCAACTGAGACATTGATTTTGGTGACAAGGGTTGAGTTTGAAACCTCTGCTCGAAAGTAGAAAACAGATACTTAAATGTGCGTAGTTTTTAAGTAAAAAACTCCTATATATTCTGCTTAAACTACCAGTAGAAGATACGCGAGACTAACTCCCAATTTTTCTTCAATGCCTTTGCGTAAATGGATCCGTATGTGCATATTGAAACGATGCTGTAGCAGACCATAATATGCAATTCAAAAGTCCTGCTCATCCAGTTATTGTTGTAAACTGCTCGTCTGAGGAAGTCTGATTTTGGTCAGACGGACAGTTACAGAAATACATTTACGTTAGTGTGCAGCAAGACTCTTGAATTGCATAGTATGGTCTAATTTATTTCTGCTACACCATTCTTGCATTATAATAATTAGTCTATCAGTTGGGGTTAGGCAAGACTAACCTTTCCTTGCTCTATGCCTTTGTGGAAGTGGATCCGTATGCGTGTAACGCAAGGATGCTGTAGCAGGAATACATGACCATACTATACGCAATGCAAGAGACCTGCTGCACACTAACACAAATTATTTTCATTTATGTGGCGCTCCAGAAGTGTGTGCACCAATATGGAGGTAACTTAGTTTGTTTGCCTATTTTATATCAAGTTGTATGAAGGGACTGAAACCTATGTGCAGGGTGTATATTCAGTTGGCTAACACAGACAGTCCTGAACTCGTAATAAAACTAAAATTAGGAAAATCGGAATAAAATCATGGCCTAACCCTAACCTGGTACACATACTACGGGAGTACCATTTGTGTGCAGCAGGACTCTTGAATTGCATAATATTCTACTTTACATTTATTTATCCTATTCTAGGTAATATTTTAAATTCAATCTATTCATTTCCAGCCAACACGGAACAGTACCAACAATGATGCCGAATCTAACAGCTTCAACATCGAGAGAGGAAATGTTGTTACCATTTGATGACGTCACAGTGACGATTGTGGCGATTATTTTGTTATTTTTTCTCGTTTTTGGATTCGTCGGAAATTTACTGACTTTATTGGTTATCGTTACGTCGAGAAAATTGAGGTGGGTTTCACGTATAGAATGTGGATAAATGATATATAGTGTACAAACTTAAGTTATGGCTACGGATTCGTACGTAAGGTTTACATATAGTGTATTCGTATTTGTTGTATTGTTAAAAGATTTACTAATATTCCTTAGTCTTTTATTATAACTATATAGTAGAACCCACTCTTATAATATAGGGTGTCCATGAAGTCTTAAATTTTTTAAAGTTGCGAAAGGAATTTATTTGTTTCGGCCCTCACAGATATATTGAAAGAAGTAAAAATATTTAAACAACAAACCTGGTTAAGATATATTTAGAACTGTCTTCATAACAAAATTGAAATTGTAAAAGGACTTTATGGACACCCTGTACAATAATATAATAACTTTTATGCAAAGTGAGAAAGAAATAATGAGTTCCAAATAGGAAAATAGATATTTAACGAAAAGGATTGGGAACCACCGGATCAGGATCTACTCTAGGCCCAATGAAAATTTCATGGCCATTTAAAAAATTCTTCTCACTTGTATCTTGTGACTGCATCCCAATTATAATTCATTTTTTAGAAATGTCTTCAACCTGTTTATTTTGAGTCTCTGCGTCTCAGATTTAATTTCTTCATTAATAAGTTGGATCAATCTATACAGAAGAACATGGGGGTTTAATGTATTTGCATTACCAGATTTCTTCTGCGTGGTAAGTATTTATTAAATATTAAGTATAATATGGCAACGGCCAAGGCGATTTACTTTTTTGTGAATGGCGCGTAACTATTTCATTGACGTAGTATGGACTATATTTCCATCGGACGCCAAAATTCCACCAGTAGCGTCAATGTGTATAATATCAATAGCAGAATTTTGAATGATTTTTTTCACTGAAGTTTCTGACCAAAGCCCAATCCCCAAAGGCATCTTCGAAACTAGCTGGAGTGTTCCACGAATTACTTGATTTTTGGCGCCGCGGTGGCCTAGCGGTGAAAGCGCAAGAATAAATGTTGTCGAAGGTTGAACACTACTCGTGTTCAAGTACCATGTCAGATTCTAACTTTTATAATTAAACATTCGGTCATTTATTAGTTGACATCAAATTAGAAGTCGGTGTTGGAACAAACTTCCCTCCCTAGTTCGACATTTCTAGTCATAGGGTCATCCTTACTGTCAAAGTAAGAAGTAAAATCCTACCTACCTCGTCAATGAAACACCAATCTTTTTCTATAATGTATTATATATATATATATATACTCGGTTTCTATAAAGTTCCTTTATTTAAATTTTCAATTTTGTTATGAAGTCAGTTTTCAACCAGGTTCCTAACCAGGTTTGTTGTTTTTTAATTAGTATTTTTACTCCATTTAATACATCTGCGAGGGCGAAAACAATGTATGGTATCGTTAAATTCCCTTGGCAATTTAAAAAAAAATAGGACTTTATAGACACTCTATGTATCAGTGATTTTGTCTTGCTACAATTTTAATTTCTACAAATAACAACCTCCTCAAACTATTGCAGTTATACTGGGGCGCAGATATATGGACCTCGTATGTGACAGCTCAGCATATTATGAGTTTTGCAATTCTTCGATTACTTTCCGTTTGGAAACCAGTCCTCTTCAGCAAAATAAAATCGTGGCACGCAAACGTGAGTCAAATTTTCATTAGAATAATAACAGTTTTTCTCTATAAGTTCTGCAAACAATACGCTTCTTCATTTAGTACGAATTTTTGGAAATGCCAATTTTATAACTTGTTATTTAATTATCGTTTTACCTCAAATAAAACTAACCAAGCAACAACGCAATTAGATTGTTTGAAATCGAAAGTTTAGTGGTAAAAACTGTAACAATATCCTTCGGTTTGAATAGATCAGCACTGCAAAACATGTACTTGAAAAAGATGTAACTATTGGTAATTTTATTCAGGGAAATAAGCGGTTCCTAAGCTTTTTTGACACATTCCTGCCATTGACAATTTGGAGACTCATCATTCCGGCCTTAAGTACTTTTAAATGAAAACTCGTAGCTGTTTTGTCACTTTACTGTACACAACAAATTCTGTTTCCGTTTGTTGTTCAATCATACGTTAGATCATTAACTAGTTAGCGATACTGCCTTTCTGCTTTTTCTTTGAGCAGAATTAATAGTTAATAATGTGTTCGGAAAATCGTATTATAACCAATTTAAATGCCCTCAGTAACACCGTTAGTGATACTACAAGCAAATACTAATTTAAATTATCTCTCCCAAGGCCTAATACAATAAAATTCTTCCTTAGTTGGTAAACGGTACGTTAACAGAATATCATGAAAAATACCGAATGTCATGAAACAGACGAATATCATAAAATAGACGAATATCACAAAATAACTGAATATCTTGAAATAACCGAATATTATAAAATACCGGATATTTCAAAAATACCCGAATATCATGAAATAACTGAAGATTATATAGGCGAATATCATAGAATGAACTAGAATTAATTATCATTTATTAGTATATATATTACCTGTCATGTATAATGCGCAAATGTGCGATTTTTACTATTAGCTCAAAATCCCACTTTGTTATAACACTTTGTCTTTATTTCAGGTCTGGATCGCCTCAATCTGGTTTATCGCGTTTCTCAGTGGTTTCATTCCGTTTGCCTTATTCAGTGGAGCAAGGATTAGGGACAGGAGTGATCGTTCGTCCCCAGTTTCAAGATGGCCGGCATGTACACAAAATGAAGAATGGTAAGCGTAAACGTCTTTCTATTTTCACCTAGAATGAGCCCAATATACAAACTCAGCGATTCAGAATTTATATCCGTCAATCTGGAAATAAGCGGCTAACTTATCCGATACCCGACGTGAATAGGTAACCTGACGACAGGCTGTGATTTGCCATTTGATAAAGCCGTCTTGTCGGCTCTCTTCTCCCCCCGGGATAAACATGTGATTCCCACATTATCCTTCTTTCACCTTTGGTATATTATCCACGGCTTTTTATTTTTCGTTTCCTGACCAAATTCTTTAAGAATTTATTCTCATTTTCCTCTTTTATTTATCCTCATCTTTTTTTTTATCTTCGATTCCGACGTATTCTCAATTTCCATATTTCACTTTATTTCTATTTCTTAGCTTTGCTATTGAATACCAAACTCTTTTCACAGGTTACCGCAGTACTCTTTGTACACACAGTACGGCTACCCAATCTTTTTCTACGTCCCACTTGTTGCAATCGCTTTAGTTTCCTCGGCTATTGGAGTAGTCATGGTACGACGAACTGCCCCACAATCGAAACATGGGAACGATACAAGAGATCAGAAAACAGTGAAAAGAAAACAGAAAGAAAAACAAGCAATCATGCAACTTGCGTTAATTGTGGGATCGTTTATGTTTGGATACATTCCTTTTACAGGTAATTGACAATATTGCATTATGAGGGTAAATATATTATAAACAGAAGAGTGAAGCTCAAATAAACGGACAAAAGTCCCAAAACGCGTAATACGGATACGCTTAAAGTGAAAATGCCTATTTCAGTTAAAAAAAAAATTCGTTTTCTTATAGTAGTTTCCTTGCATGGAAAAATCACATGTTTGTTTTGTAACGAAAACGGGCCACGAAAAATAAAATATTTAGTACCATGGCCCAAGTGACCCAGTGCTGAATGCATCAGTAATATCCTTCGGTTCAAATGTCGGCAAGATGCATTATGATATTTTTTTTAACTTTTCTGTTTCAGTTTTTGAGTTCTACACCATCAACTCTACGGATAAGAGTTTCCGTGGATGGAAAATAGACTGGACGTTCGGAACTGCACAATATATGTGTTTGAGATTATCTGAATGTTTGAATCCAATCTTCTATAACTTAGCTTCAACGTAAGTCAATTTATATATATAAATGGAATATATCAGTTTGATACTTATAACTGAGTATCTTAAAATTAGCCTGTTTCACCTAGTCCTGTGCTCTCACTTCCGGCAGCATTACTCCGCCCTAAAAATAAAAATTGGGGCAATTTGGGCAAGTGTGGGAGAAGTGGGCCGGTATAGGGCGAGTGGGAAATTTTTGAGAAACGCTTATAATCCTATATATATGAGATGGATTTGTCCAATACTTATAATCGATCGAGTGTCAAAATTGTTGTGTTTCTGTTAGGGTTAGGGTAGGTACAAGCAAAGCAGATTGCGCTGGAAAATTTTCAAATTATTCCTAACCCGAACTGGATAATTATTAATTCCTAATTTGAATCGCGCATTTTTGCATCAGTGACAGGGTCTTTGTACAAAATATCCAAAATTTGAACTTTATTTATTAATCTCTATTTTATTACAGCAAAATGCGCAGGGAAACAAAATCATTCCTGAAAAGATTCAAATGCAATATCGTTGATCCTACATCAAATTCAAGCAGCAGAGCTTCTTCACATTCACACACTGGATTAGAACTATGAATAGAGCGAGATAAGAAAGTTCTTTTTTAAGTATAAGGTGTTCAAATGTAATCAAAGAAAACGGAACATCTAATATTGTGCCGAGAAGTCCAGTAGCTGTATCGGAACTCTATCGTTGGCGAAGATGATAATTGGAAAAAGTTGTTTAAGAATCATAGGATACAGAAGTTCTTGAATCTTCACTCTTCAAATGGACTACCAAGTTTTTACAGCCGGGATGATATTTCAACCACTCATTTGACTAGAAATACAAGCACATGACTGGATAATATACAGGGACAGGCGCTTTGGAACATCGTACACAATAACTTGCTAATATCCAGCATACGTTACATTCGTATTTTTTTGTATGAGGCGTTAAAATGTAACTAAAGAGAACAACACTTCTAATATTGTTCTAATATTGAGAAGTCCATGAGCTGATTCAAAACTTTTCTCGTTGACATCGATGGTTGCTTGGTAAAAGGTGTTTAAGTTAATTATAGAAGACAGAAGTTCTTCAATTGAGCAGTCTCGCAGCTGCCTGGAAAACACTAAGCTGTCGGACAATTATGGAGTGCAACATGTATCTGATTGTTGCAATAAAGAACTAGTCGAAATGCTCCGAAATTTCTTGACGGCTCACGGAAGACACTTAGTTGCTTCACAATTATTTAAGGTAGCGTGTCAGAAAGAACGTATGACATGTAAGCTTCAAAATACGATAATAGGAAAAGCTCGTTGAGATAAAGGTGCAACATTCCCAGCGATTTATGCACAACCGCCGCCAGATGTACTAATGATTAGATATATAAAGCGCAGTCGGTGTTAGCAAAACGGTGCCTACGACAATTTGCCGACACGGCGAATGCCCTGATTAGGCATGTTCATTTGCAATCGAATATTAATTTAATTATTCAAATATCTTCACCCTTGAAATACCCAATATATTTTCAATCATATTATACACAAAATGCCTCACTTGGACAGGAAGACGTCCTTCCATCACCTTTTGACTTTGTTAAAATAAATCTGTGATCATAGGGGTGGGCCCATGTAGCGTGAATTAAGTGTTTAGCTCTATACAAGGATTTTTATCAAACGTTCAATAATCAATACTAAAACCTTATTCTAAGTGATTGAAGTGTAAATATATTTGTTTTAGTGTTCAGCAAGACTCTTTGATCATTTAGAATAGTTATATTTATTCTTGCTACAGCATACTTACATTGTACGTATACGGATCTGTAGTTTTAACACTGCTTTGTGAAGGGTTACTTTAAGAGAAAATAAAAGAGAGGCTTTTCTAGAAGTCTTATTATCTCAAGAGTCTTGCTGGTCAAAGTCAAATAAAATTTTACAGTGATATATTTTTGTTAGTTGACGGCAAGACTGTTTAATCTATTCATTTGAAGTTAGAAAATTGAAGTGCAATAAATTTTTAGGTGATTTAAGAGTCTTGCTGCACACTAAAATATATATATTTCTGTAAAGCTCCGTTTGACTAATTGTTCATGTATGAGAAAGTCTGATCTTGGTCAGATAAAATTTTACAGAAATGTATTTGTATAAGTGTGCAGCCTATCTCTGAATTAGACTCTCGAATCACCTAGGTTAGTTATCTTCACTCCTGCTACAGCATTATTTCATTATATGCATACGGATCCGCCGGCACAAATACATAGAAAAGGATTGGTAGTTAGTCTCGCAGAAATGCATTGATAGTGAAAGCTTATTTATTTCTCTCATTTAAACGCGGTTTCAAAGCATAGGTGCGCTAAGGATTTGGTTACTGCGGGATTACTTATTCTTCTTTTATGCTTTTGAAGCAAAGGAAAATATATATTGATCAATAATTTAGATTTGAAAAGTTGGAAATGAACATGGATTAGTGAATTCACAAATATGAACATATTGCAAGTACTAATGATTTGGTTTCTGCGAAACTAACTACTTATCCCTCTTCTATGCTTTGTACCTGTGGTCTGTATTCATATAATGCAAGAATGGTGTGGAAAGAGTAAAGAGAAGTATTCTAAGTAATTCAAGAGTCTTGCTGCACAGTAGCGCAAATATATTTCTGTAACGTTTTGTCTGAACAAGATCAGGCATCCTCAGACATACATATTTCAACTATCACTCAGACCTTGGTCAGACGAAACGTTACAGAAATATAATTGTGTTAGTGTGCAGCACGACTCTTGAATCACCTTTGAAGCGTAGTATAGAGTCATGATCATTATATGTCATCCGATATTCAGGTTATTTAAAAACATCAGGTTTTGTAAAATATTATTTTTTTTGAATTTATAAATATATTTATTTTGAAGTGCAATTCAATTTGTTTTTTTAAATAAAATTATAATAAAATATTGTGCATTTTTAAATTAACTTATTTAGACAATCCAGTAGAAGGTAGAAGTTGTACTACTATGTCACTACGTTTCTGAAAGATCATTTTTGAGGGGCTTTGTGTGTGTGATGGTCGGCCTTGCGTTCGTATTGGCGGTTTGGTGATTACAATGCGAACATAGTACGATCCCACAGACATTTGATCATCTCCAAGAGCGTACAATAAAATGCCCATTTCCCCCATCTTAGAGCAATTTCCCGTCATTCCCACTTTGTGTGAAATTTCCCTCCATTTAGGGAAATTTCCCCTACATACACTCTAAAATGCATATTTTCCCTATCTTAGAGCAATTTTCCCTCTTTCCCGCATTTCATAACATTTTCCCGCTTATTAGTAAACTTTCCCGTCATTCCCGTTTCCATAAAATGCGGGAAACGGGAACGACGGGAAATGCACTAAAAGCGGGAACTGTGGGAACGACGGGAAATAGTCAATTTCAAATTGCGGGAACTACAGGAAATTTCACAAAAAGCGGGAATGACGGGAAGTTGCTTTAACCCTGCTAAAACGCTTAATGTTTAATGTTAATGTTGCCCAAATTTTATTTTTTTGGGGGGTTTATGTGCATTTTTTTTCGTATAAGAATGTCATACGACGCTTTTGATCCAAACAAGGCTAGATAAAAGCAGCTACGGATATCTAACATTATCTTGAAATATACCACTATATGCTTACTTTGCTATCGAAGGTATCCGGGATATACAAGCGTGCATGTTCTTCTATCTCGGTTGGTTTATTTGGTGAAAGGATTATTATTAACTAGCCAGAAAAAAATCAGTTTTCATTAAATCGTTCAAGAATAGAGTAAAATGGTGTTGGTAAAGGCGTAAGAAAGCAGTCCTCACTGCAAATGCCACAAATGTGCATTTAAAAAAAAACGTTGAAAATTTTTGGGAGAGGCCATGGCTTCACAATGGCTACGCCCATAATCATCTCGTCCCCATTTGCCTACAGTTGACAGAGCTTCGTCGTGTGAGACCCACATACTAAAAAATAAAATTTTTCTACCCCACATTGAAATGTATTGGAACAACAAATATCTGATTGTTCATAGCTTCGTGTTCGATAAAAAAAATTCAAAAGCAATTGAAGACATTTCCATATCTATACACTAGAAATTTGAAAATAAATTGCCCACAAAAAAAGTAATTTTATACACAAGGACAACATGAACGAACAACAACAAAAACTTAGTTAATATGTTTAAATTGTGTTGAATACATTCGGAAGCAGTGAAATAGTCATATTCACATTTTATTGGGATAGGGAAGCGCTGTGAACCAAACCTTGTTATCAAACAGCGACACCTAAGGGAAATAAATATTACAAAAACTAAATGCAAACAAAATCAAAAATGTTATACCGGATGTCCATAAAGTCCCTTCATAGTTTTGATTTTGGTATAAAGTCAGTTCTCAATATATCTTAACCAGGTTTGTTGTTTTTAATCAGTAATTGTTCCATAATTTTTCTTAATATATCTGTGAGTGCCAAAATAATATATAGTATCGATAAATTCTCTTTGCAATTTGAAAAAAAAATAAGATTTTATGGACACCATAATTAAACATTGTTTTAATTTTTTACGAAAGTAATCTACATTGATTTATCCTCCCAACAATACTTGTAGACCGCTTCCATCGCCACTAGAATTGTCTTCATCTGGGCAGCAATATCTAACCATGTAGTCCTCACATTTCATGCCGTCAGGTTGCAAGTCATTCCAACATGCAAAACCTGTTTCAAGAGATATGTCAACCATATTCCCGCCTTCAGTGTAAGGACGACCGTCTGCGAGTTGAACCTGGTGAAAATTTAAGAAAGTAATTAGCATAGAGTTAATATCAAAACACAATAATATTAAAATACAAATATTTATAAACCTCGATGTGCGTCGGTCTTGTACAAACTCCTCGTGTTGCAACAGCGCGCTCTAGTGTCTCACAATCGCATAAAAGTGAAGGAGTGTCCAGGTTCAGCCAACCAGTCCAGTCCGTCTGTCGACACGGCAGTACAACTATGTAAAAAAAATAGGAAGTCATACAATAACTTTCAAATTGACATTGTTTTTCATTTTATAAACAACTCAGCTCACGAAACAAATGATATGATTAAAATTCAGCTTTAGTGTTTTTTACCACTTCGACAAAAAAGTTTTAATTGAATTAGACAATATGGATTTTGCTAGCTTGTGCTATCGATTGGGTTTCTACAAAACTTACTACTTCACCGTATTCTATCTTTGTGCGCCGGTGGATCCATATGCATATAATGCAAGGATGCTGTAGCAAGAGTGGAGATTGTTACGTTGTAAACGTACGTTGTTTACAAATTTGTCCTTAGTTTTCCCCTGTATGCAGTGCATCGCGCGCTGCCTTGTAACCATCAATGTAGACCTATTATTACCCGTTTTTTCCCTTTGCTTGTAACGTAAATTAGTAATTCTATCTGTTGTCTGGTTTAGAGTTTTCCTTTTGGTCATTTTCGCATCACGTATTCGTATATATTGTATATATTGTAATTGTCGGAAAACGTTTGTTAAGAAATTGGCATTTTGTTTTTGATATATGCTTGATAATACGTGACAAGATCACTATCTTAAGTGATTCAAGAGTCTTGCTACACACTAACAGCAATATATTTCTGTTGACTATCTATGTCTATGGAAGTTTTAGTTTGGTCAGACAAAACCTTGCATAAATATATTTGTGTTAGTTATAGTTTGCAGCAACACTATTGAATCACTTTCGATAGTTAAGTTTGAATATTTAAACTAGCGTGCTAGAAACAAAGCCTCAAAATTTTAACTAAAGCTGGAAAAGCAGTGATCGAAAAGTACCAGGAACGGTAGGTTTCATAGCTTTATGTATATATACCAGCGTTTCCCAACCTTTTTTGGTCGCGGACTATTTTCTCACCGGCGACAACCTTTGCGGACTCAACGTGCGTTTATTGCAAGAAGTAATAAAACCAAACACAACAGAATTTCAAAATCGGAAATTCGCCGAAATTACGCTTTTGTCAAAAGAGCCGACTTTTTTAGTGGATAAATGGCCTTTCCTGTCGCACAATATTCAATCCATGACAACGACGAGAATTTAAAATATCTTTTTAATTTAATTGTGTTCATGGTCACTCGCGGTTGCGTCAACATATGACAAGATGAAAGCATTACTTCTTTAAAATACCACGGCAATCTGCGAACATAATAATGTGAGAATATATTGCCTGATTATATTTAGTTTTGTTACATATTTTTTGCAATCTTGCGAATTTGTCATCGCCGTTAGGAAAATCCTACTATCTTCTATAAATTTCTAGAACGTACAACTTGATTTAGTACTTATTAAAAACATAATTAAAGTATACGTATTAGTAAATCGAAAAAAATATTGATCGCCTTGATGATCATTTTAATCTGCGGCTGTGTTGACGAAATAAAAGCAATACTACTCAGAAAATATCATGACAATTCGTGGACACGAAAATGCGTGGTAAAGTGCCCGATTATATTTTGTTTTGATTCTTATTTTTGTGAATTCGACAAATTTGAGCTATTCGTACAACACTTACGGCGCTCCAGTACTGTACATACAAATGTTGAGGCAGTAAAGCAAAAAATCCTAAGGGAAATTTTGCGATTTTAACCGGTGTCGGACCATCATAAAACAAAACTCATGGTGTTCTCCGTTTTATTTTTAGTATTTTGTATTGCCGCTCTTCAATCTAAAAAATTTAGATTGCCACCATTGACACCTACTCAAAAAAAAAAATTCCTCGTTGTTCGAGCTCCGAAAAACATCACTTGGGTATCTATCCAGTATCGACTCGTGTTCTCGTCAAAAAACCGAAAGTGAGTTGAGAAATCCAATCGTGTGATTAAAGCGACACGCAAGTGACCTGTCGCGTCACCTGTTACCAAATTTTCGAATAGTAAATTGCTATTCTAGTAATTGAATAATCAAATATATGCGCAGCCCTGCTCAGTATCCAGTAATTATTGACGCGATTGATGACATGTGAATAAATTTGCTTTTTATGTTTTATGTAAATTCTAACGTAAATCGTAACATGGCTGATGGTTAAGTTTCGCAGTGAATATCTGGCTCGTTGCGGACTCATTCAAACGCTCCGCGGACTCATTTGAGACCGTGGACTTGGGTTGGGAAACACTGATATATACATATGTGCTTTGTATCATTACTCACTTTCATACGAATCAACAGGGCGTGACGATAAATGTCAGAACCACATTTTGCTCTGATTTGAGGGGACGCTGCGATTTTGCTTTGCATTCGCATGTGGTTGGGCGGTAGATGATCCGAGACATAGTTTTTTTGTTAAGTCCTAATACTGCACTAAAGTAGGTTTGCCGTAATATGTCATTGTTCGAGTTTTAAGGTACACTATAGATTAGTTTGACACGATGTCCGGCTCTGACTGTACTGCAGTACGGGTGCACCACTATACGTTACTAGTACTCAACCCATCGTGGAAACAGACCGTGGTCCTTTAACTTAACATACGTAAGTTAGTCTGTATTCAATTTACATTATTAAAAAGACTGTTGGAGCAACATTTTCACACAACGAGCTTTTTGAAGCAGGTACAAATAGCAACCGCGCGAACTCTGAAATGGCGCGGTAGGGCGAGCGTCCTCTCAAATATTAGTGAAAACGTTGATGACAGCATAGATCAAAGTTCATGAAAGTCGATAATAGAATTGGTATTGCATTGCTATTCACGTGAGACTTGAATAGCATAGTCAACACATTTTGAAAAACAGTTAGAAATTCCATTGAAAGAGGAACCTCTCTTTAGCAGTGATTCTCAAACGACGGAGAGCGCCCAACATAGCGGGCGTGGACAATTCACTGAGGGGGCGTGAAGCTAATTGAAAATAAATATATATGTTAGATGTAATTTTGCCCGCCTTGTTTTGCATATTTAAGTTCCATCCATGTCTGTTTTTTTTGTATTAAAACATGCTTTTCGCCTCACTGTCTGTTAATTGTAACCCGTTGTTATTTAATTATTTTTGAGGTGAGGCGCGAGACTTGACTAAAAAGTGGAGCGGTTTGAAAAGTTTGAGAAGTTTATTGTCCGAACCAGTACCTAATCAAGATGAGCAAACGATCTTTTAAGTATTTTTGATCAGGAATAACACAATTTTTCAAATGAGAAATAGTCTACGTACACAATGTTATAGAATATTCCCGTAGACGATTTGAATATATTTCTGCGACCCTTTTACGTGAAATCTTTTACTGACTTTTTAAATTATTATACCTATAATAAGTATAAGAAAATACAGTAAGTATACTTACATTCTGGAGTCTGCAATATAATAGATAAAAATGTATTATATGTTTACTATTTGATGACGTCATAAGTGAGTGACGTTATCTTACCTTGCATGGACCGTATTTTTCGAGTTTTCCATTTTTATTTAGTTTCATGAAGCATACGTCATCTAGAATATAAATATTGGGAAATATCATATTTTTAGGATTTCTTTAAATGCGCGCAGAACAAAGTTCAAGACAAGCAGGCACTGCTACTGCGTCTTTCAAGTCTTTCGACCAGAACTTTCATTGCAGGAATCTTATTATATAGAATATTGAATGAAAACCTAAAGAAACTCTGTCCAGAGTCTGGACTGTATTGGCGGGCCCCTAAGTCTGACTCTAGGGTGACATAGAGCCTCGAGTGAAAACCAATGGTGTATACTGTTGTACAGCAAAATTATGGGATTTTGAAGTTTTTCTACAATAGCTTCCAAGGCCCAAAATTTTACCAAGCTTTGGCTTCGATTATATTAGTGGTTGAAAATAAAACTCCAACTATGGCGCCAAAATCAGTAGTGACTCCGACTCTTTAGAAACGGCACTCCCGTAGTATGTAAACCAAGATGGCGGACACTGGAACGCAGTATGTGTACCAGATTAGGGTTTATTCCAATTTTTTTTTTCATTTTAGTTCTATTACGAGTTCGGGAATAGCCAAGTGATTCCCGTAGTATTTGTATCTGAAATTATAGCTTAACCCAAACCTGGTACACATAATGGAGTACCCCAGAAACTGGATAGCAACTATATCGAAGCAGTATAATGGTTCAAAATTACAGGCGACTCAAAAAGCATAACTATATAACCTAAACAGAACCTAACTTTTATACAAAGAATAATAAAATACTGAAACTAGTGAATACAAGAATACACAAACAGAAGTCCAAGTAATGAACAAATGTCTTCATTCTCATAGAAGTAATTGAGACATTTACAAGTTATGCATTTAGGGTCACAACGTACAAAATCGATGTAGGAACCTACTACCGAATTCGATTGCTAATTCTTTAATCCTACCTTGAAGTTCTTTTCCCGCGATAGCTTCAGTAAATACTGCTGTTAACAGAGCATATAGCAACCAACTCATTTTGGCCTTGTCATTTAAAATGCTACCTTACTCTATGCAGCAAATGCGAATCTTAACATTGCTGACTAAAATAGTTTATTACTGCAGTTACGAACACTATGATACCTTGAAAAAAAAATACAATTTACCTTTATTTTTTCCTAAAACCGAATTAACTTGATACAAAACGATTACAAAGTTGGGGATTACATTTATTGCGAATATTGTTACCGACAATTTTTACTGTAACAAGAGCATTGAAGGATTAAAATAACTGCTAAACACAATTAAATTTTGCGATATTATTAATTTATAAACGATAACCGGAAATCCTTCAATGATTAACGCTGAGAATAAGCTATTCGCATTTGTCATTGATCGGATTTAACATTTTAAATATTTTCTACTTCTATCACCAATGGTGTATACTGTTGTACAGCGAAATTATGGGTTTTCGAAGTCTTTCTACAACAGCTTCCAAGACCCAGAATTTGACCAAAGTTTGGCTTCTATTTCTTAGCGGCTGAAAAAAAAAAATCCGACTATGACGTCAAAACCAGTAGTGACTCCGCCTTTCCAGAAACTGGTAGTATGTAAACCGAGATGGCGGACACTGGAACGTAGTATGCGTACCAGGTTAGGGTTCAATATGCGTTCTTATAACGCAGTGGTGTGCAATCCGGGCCCCAAATGCGACCACAAGGTACAATTGTGCGGCCCCCGGAGTGTGTTTTTAATTCAGTTCAATCTGCTACGTGTGAGTTATTTAAATTCCTCACAATGCCCTACCAGCTAGATTGTGCATAGCGAACAACGCATGTCATGAGATCAATAACCAAGATTTTTATGCCTGTAACTACTAGAAAGCCTATGTTGAATAAAGGTATGGCCCGCGATCTTTTTCAGTTATTTGTACCTGGCCCTCCTGTATTGAGAGTTTTACACCCCTGCTGTAATGCATTGTAATGAATAGTCAGACTTGCTCCAAGCAAACCAATGTGTGTCGAATCGTTCAAGCAGAAATTTACTCTTGGTCACCGTTCGCGACATGCGACAGACTGTAGCGGTTAGATCGAGCCATCAAAGAAACTACCAACAAATCTGAGAGTGTGAAAGAAACCAAGACAGCAGCAAAGGCCAATAAAAAAACTGGAAGAAGTGACTGAAAGCATCTAGCGCACATCAACAGTCAAAACCTAAAACTCGAAGCATCTTAACTGTATTGGTTGACCCTAGAAATAGAACAATTTAATTTAAACGCATGGGATTTTTCGAAGAATATTTATCCCAGAATAATTTTGAATTCCTCAATATTTCGGCAATGATTTCAATTTTTTTCGCACCGTTATGGATGGTGTCCCCACCAATTAACTCCAACAATATTTGTTGTAAAATAATGTATTGAAAATTCAAAATCACACTTAGCCACACGTTTATATGAGCAAAAAGCAAATTCAAAAATCAAGGACAAACAAAGCATTGACGAATTTGAATAATTTACAATACTGATATGTTGTCACTTCCTGGGTCAAATAGTGGAAGGTCAGGAGTTAAGATGACCTGATTTCGTGTTTGGTTTCGAATTGTTCAGTGTTAGAAATATTTATAGCAATGATGTGTTGTTACTTCCAAAAAGTTAAAGGTTAAGAAAATTTGATTCTATGTTTGGATAACACACATACAAAATTTTAATAATAGCCCAACTTGGATGTTTTCATTGCCATTTATTTAGAACATGATGGGAGTGGCAGGTCACAATTCAATCAATAAATGTGAATGCTTATATTTTCGAACAATATAAATTCTCGAAAATAATGAAAAATATTGAGCAAACAGCAAAAATCCTTTAAAATAATGAAAGCCAAACATAAGTATAACAGTTATATATACTAAGATAGTACATGTCATCATAAAAAGGAGACCATAAACAGAAATTAGAAATTTATTTAAAACAAATTTTTTTAAGTTGAACATGGCTCGCGGCAATCCATGCGAACCCCTCGAATAAGTATTGTTGGTTTTATATAATAATCGACCATTTCAAGGTACAAACAACTCCAAATGTCTTTGTGAATATCAGTACGTTAAGGAATTTCGAGAACACGCCTGCCAGAAAGTATGATTCGAGTAATTTTTGGCTGACTGTCTGTTCAATCCAGGAAGCTCAAAGTATATTAGTGAACGGTGGCTTAGCGATTTTAAAGCACGAGACTTAACTACGATGGCATCCCGGGTTCGAATCCCACGCCCACCACCTTAGACAGAAAATGTGATAAATAAAATAGTCAATTCTCAAAATGAAAGATCCCGCTTCTTCTGAACTAATTGGCTCTTCAGCTAGAAGTGGAGTATTTTTGTGGGCCTTCCCACCCCCGCAGTCAAATTGTAGAAAAGAATAACTAAGGTAGGCAATACTCAAATTAAAAGATTCCGGACCTCCTGAACTACATGAGTTCCTTAGCTAGAAGCGGAACCATGTTAAGAGCGAAGTACCACTGAAATTTGTATAATAACGCTGTAAAATATATTGCAATAAATCCGGCAATTCGTTTTGACGGCAATAATTTATCACCGTTTTAAAATTAAAGTTTTCGAAACGAGCAAGCAGTTTACAGCTGTTACTTTCAGAAAACGTTTTAGAGTCATTGAGATCGATTTGAATAAAAGTCTTGTAAAAGGGCGTGGCTTGTATGGGCGGAGTCTTTATAATAACGGTCCAATCACGTTGAGTTTTCTTTTACTGAATTTTCATCCTTCGTTGATTCTTCTTCTTGTGGTTCTTGTTCTTCAAAACTGGCTTGGAATTTTGGACTGAACTTTTTAGGAGATTTGGTGCTTTCGTCTAAATGTAAATAAGATAATAAACACCTAAGCTGGCCATGTTACCTTCAATTATTGAGGATTGCACCTTTTGATTGAACTGAGCGGATTTGCACCGAGGGTGATAATAATGCGGGTAAGATAGTGGGTACTCCCGAAGTATGTGAACCAAGATGGCGGAGACCGGAACGTAGTATGTGTACCAGGTTAGGGTTACGCCATAATTTTATTCCAATTTTCCAAGCTCGGTACTAGCAAAGTGACTCTCGTAGTATTTGTATGTGAAATCAAGATCTAAACCTAACCAGACGAAATGCCGTGGTTTGCTAAATGATTGAGTCGTCATATCGACTTTCTTTTCCCGGTTATAAATATGAAAATCCTATGCTTATTTTAAAGCATAACAACTTCCCGAAATCGACCGAAGAAAATTGCGGAGGCATAATTTGCTATTGAATGAGGAAAATTTTGGTAAAAGAGCAGACTGTAAATAGTACACAGCCATGCATGCGGAGAACACATTTAAATGGATTTTTGAAATACTCTCAAATTTCTCGCTACTAAAACTTAGAAAGCGGGAGAAAAGCAGTTTTATCCCATTAATTAACCAAGGAGAGCGATAAATAGACCCAATATCCTGCAATTTTGTCCTGACAATAGAATATATGGATAGATACGTTCCATATCAAACCATGTTTTAGTCACATGAATTTTAAACTTTATAGTTTACTTGAAACGATGTTTAACGTCATAGGAGTGTCTCTTCTCTGGAATAAATGCTTCTTGTTGTTGCTACTCAGCATGAAATTGCGAGCAGTCTTCGCTTGATGTGACGATGTAGGAACTTCTGAAATAGGAAAGAAAAAATGTAATAAATGGAAGAATCAGAATGGTATCATGGGCTGACTTACCCAGAGGGTAATAATTTGCCGAACAATGAAGTTCGAGTTTTTCTAATAATCCTTGCATGTAGTTGAAGAATTCTAAGAATATTCGACGTAGGAAATTTTGCGCATAGGAAAAATTGCGCACGAGTTTTGTTTGGAAAATGAGTGCGAAAGACTTTTGGAACATCTCGGGTTCAGCTCAATGTCCCCGATGACGACGAAAGCTCCCAAATATGCTTTCTCTTCCGTGTTATCTCGTTCAAGTATTATTGTGACAACATACGGATCCGAAGTAAGGAGTATAATCTGATAAAGGACCTGCCGTTCAATATACAAGTAATCCCCGTATTAAGATTATGTTGCAACTAAGGTCATTGCTTTGTTTTGTCAGACGCTTTTAAGTCCCAAAGTAAACAGTTCTCATCACCAGGGAGCACAGACACGTACAGGCCCATATTTAATTCATGAAGTATCCCCATCTATTTGTGTACATTGTATAATCTCTGGACTTAAATAATTTATTATTTCACAGGTCATAGGTCATAAACACTATCGTTTATTATTTATGAGGCTCATGTTCTCATCATGAGAATCGTGATTTACTTTCGCCGTGAGAAATTTACCTAAATTCGACAAGATTTAGACGCGACTTTGGGGTTTGAGCTTCTGGAATGTTCGTTTACTGCCAACCATTTGATTAATAACGGGCAATTTTAACCTATTTTTTTCAAGAGTTTTGTTGCACACTAACACAAATGTATTTCTGTAACGTTTTGTAATTCTACGCTGTGATTCGTTATAGTCTCGGAAGCACTTGACACTTTAGAGCTCCCCCGTAATTTCGTTCAGAGAACAAACTTCTTTGGGACCTCCAGAAGTATGTGCACCAAGATGGCTCATAACCTGAACCCTAACCTGGTAAATTTACCATGTTCGGGTTGTGCGCCATCTTGGTGCACATACTTCTGGAGGTCCCTTCTTTGTTTCTGAGTACAGGCGTGCAACAATATTTTGACGGTTGCCACGATTTTTGGTAGTTTTTCAGGGTTTTCCGCCGTTTTTGCACATTCTTGCAAGGTAGTTTTTCCCGGTTTTTGCATGTGTTTGCAAGGTTTTTGGTAGTTTTTCAGGATTGTTCACTGTTTTTGCACATTTTTTCAAAGTTTCTAGTAGTTTTCACTTTTGAAAAAAAGTTTGCATGATATTTCAGACGTATGATATTGGATTCAAATTCAATATGACAAACGACATGAATCTGACCCCTCGCCGAGAAACGTAAATAACTGGCAACCCTTTTCTTATGAACCCAAGGTATGATGAACTATAGGTTGGCAATGCCAAACCGGGAAGGTCCCGATCCCTTCAAATATGGCAGATT